GCCAGGCCAATGTGGCCGAGCCAGCAGGTCAGGAGGCTATGGGCACTTTAGCCCGAGGGATAGCCGATGCTTTGAGGGAGTCTGTGGGTATTTTCCAAGCTGAGAATCCAGTTCAGGTTCCAGTTCAGGCCTAGGTTGTTGGGTTGATCGTCGAGGGCTACGTTTTGATCCGAGTATATTGAGTTTTGGAGCACGTTGAGTTTCTTCACCTTCTTTCCTTGAGCCCCGAATTTGAGGTAGGGATTCCTACTCACTCTTATGGTCTTTGACCTAGATTTTTTGTTGTTTTGATAAAGTGTTGAAGTTGTAAAATTTTGGGACTTAGGGTTTCAAAATGTGTTAAAGAGGGTTTTGTGATTTTGGGCTCATAATATGTGTTTTGGGTTTCAAAATGATGATATAGTTGTTGGTTGGTGATATTTGAACCTTTGAGTTGATATTGAGAGTTGGGGGTAAAAGCCCTAATTTGTTGTTTAAAATTAATTGGTATAATTAATTTGGGAAAATTGTAGCTATATGGAATTGAGTTGGAAATAATGAAATTGGTTCATTATATGGTAGAATAGTGGAGTTAGATTTATTAATCGCTCACTTTTGAAAACATTGATATTTTATCTGTTGGAGTTTTTGTTATTTGTTTAGAAATAATTGCTTGGGCTACCGGTGGAGGGTAGTTTTGATTGTTGTAGACAATGCATAATGATTAGGCAAATTAAAACTAATCAATTAGATATGTCATAGAGTATGACAGTTGATAGAATACATTAACGTTATGTATTGATTGATTGTTTATATGACCTTTGTGTATATATGCATTGTGTATGTGTGGGAGGAGATAGGGGATGTACTCCACGGTTTAGGGGAAGATAGGGGATGAACCTCTAAACCGGATGTTGTTTGGGAGGAGATAGGGGATGGACTCCACTGATACAACTCATATGCTTGTCAGATAATGTGTTGATATAGCTCATATGCTTATCCTTGGAAGTGTTGATACAGCTCATATGCTTGTCATTGGAAGTGTTGATATAGCTAATATGCATATCTGTTGAAATGTGGGTACAGCTTGTATGCTTACCTGTTGAGATGTTACTACAACTAGTATGTTTATCTATTGTGATAATGAAAAATGTTTAATATGAGTCACTGTCTCATATAAGTGGTTAGCCTGGTTCTGAGCCATTGATGTAAATTGTGAAATTGATAAGAAATGGAAACTAAAATGAGACATGAACGTAGTGGTCATGAGATGGAAATGGGTTATGAATTGGTTTATGAAAATTGAACATTTATCAATTGCTAATGTCTTAGTTATTGCTCATGTTGTGTTTAGCACATCTCTACTGGACGTTGGCTCACCCTTTATGGGACATTATTTTCAGGTACAGGTAGTATGCCACCTCCAAGGACGTAGCTTGGATGATAATGAGAGTTGAAGACTTTTTCTTTTGTTTATTTTGATGTATTACATGTAAATTCCAGCCAAGGGCTTAATATGTATTGAGTTAGTACTCTTCTTTTTGTAACCAAGTGTTAACTTAGAAAGCTATAAGCTCATAGGGCATTTGCTTTTGTTGTTAACATATAATACAGTTGTAAGAATTACTCTGATAAATAGAAGTGATTGATTTCTTTTATATCAATGCATGTCTGAAATGTTGGGTTTTATGTATTTTTTTTAGGGCGTTACAGGCAAGGCCTCCAGCCAACAAGAAAGAGTTTTAATGTTTTCTTGAAAAAGTAAATTTTTTGAGGAGATTCATAGCTAATTTGGCCAAGAAAACTTTAGCATTCTCTCATTTAGTGAAAATTAAGTCAGACCATGAGTTTAAATGGGAAGTGTGCCATCAAGAAGCTTTTGACTTGCTCAAGAAATACTTGACAAACCCTCCAGTGCTTATGCCACCAGTGGCAGGAAAGCCTTTGAAATTGTATATATTAGCTTTTGACCTGTCGATTGGTTGTTTATTGGCTCAAGAGAATGATATGGGTCATGAACAAGCCATTTACTACCTAAGTAGAAGGCTAAATAATGCTGAAATTAGATATAATTCTGTCGAGAAATTGTGTTTGGCACTTTATTTTGCAGCCATTAAATTGAGGCATTATTTGCTACCAACAGAAATGTTTGTGATAGCACAAATAGATGTTATTAAATATATGTTGTCTAAACCAATTTTAAGGGGGAGACAGGGTAAAGGGATATTAGCATTGATTGAGTATTGTCTCAAATATGTGTCGCAAAAAGCAGTCAAGGGGCAAGCTTTGGCTGATTTCTTGATGGAACATCCTAGCACTTCTATCGATTTAGACCTATATGAGGTTAATTTGGTGGAAAGTGAACCACGGAAATTGATGTTTGATGGTTCAAAAACAGATGAAAGAGTTGGAGCAAGTATTGTGTTGATTGCACCAAATAAGCAAATATATCAGTTTGCATATCAGTTGGAAGCACAACATGTACAGCCTTGTAATCAAGCTGAATATGAAGCCTTGATAATTGGCTTAGAATTGGCCATAGAATTCAGGATTAGAAGCCTCCAGGTTTTTGGAGATTCCCAGTTAGTTATTAAACAAGTTTTGGGAGAGTTCAAATGTGTCAGTGGTGCTCTAGAAGAGTATTTAACTGAGGTCAAATGGTTAACTAGTTTCTTTGACCATATCACGTTCACACATAGGTTTAGACTGGAGAATAAAGAGGCTAATGAGATGGCTCAAGCAGCTTCTAAACTAAAAATACCTAAAGGTGCTTAGGAAAGGGTGATTCAAATTCAGAAAAGAAACTTTTCTGCACTTAAAAATAGGTGTAGGAATTTCCTACATATTCTCACTTTGAATGTGACAGAAGAAGATTGGAGATTCCCTTTAATAAAGTACCTATCGAATCCCAATGAAAAAAGCAGTAGGCAGCTGAGGTTTCAGGCCTTAAACTATGTTGTCATGGGAGATGATTTGTTTAGGAAGGCTCATGATGGTTTGACTCTGCTTTGTATTGGTAAATTAGACCAAATGAAAGCTATGGCTGAGGCACATGAGGGAATTTGTGGGGCCCATCAAGCTGGTGATAAAATGAGATGGCTGATTAACAAGTATGGATATTTTTGGCCATCCATTAGAAAAGATTGCATAATGTATGTAAAAGGATGTCAGAGTTGCCAGAAGCATGGCAATATTCAAAGGGTACCAACTACCAGTCTGCATTAAGTGGTTAAACCTTAGCTTTTTAGAGGATGGGCAATGGATTTAATTGGGCAAATTTTTCCATCATCTTCTAAAGCACATTCTTACTTATTGGTAGCCACTGACTATTTTAGTAAATGGGTGGAGGCAATACCTTTAAAAGTGGTGACACAGGTCCAAGATATTGAATTCTTGAAGAAGAATTTGATACATAGGTTTGGTTTACCCCAATCTATCACTGTCGATCAAGGTACAGTGTTCAATGGGGATGAAATTAAAGAGTTTTCCAAAGAATACGACATTCAGATATTAAACTCTTCACCATATTATGCCCAGGCAAATGGACAAGCTGAGGCAACAAACAAGATTGTCAAAAATACTTTAGAGAAAATGATTGAAGACAATCCTAGAGATTGGCATAATCTCTTGTCAGAAGTGTTTTGGGCTTATAAAAATTCCAAAAGGAATAGTATAGGTACAACTCCATATGAGTTGGTTTATGGGCATGATGTTGCATTACCTTTGGAAGTGACAATGAGATCCAATCGACTGGCCAAGCATTTGGATATTCCTATGGATGAATATTCAGAGGCACTATCGATTGAGTTTCAAGATTTAGAAGGAAAAAGAATCGTGGCTTTTAATCATTTTGGTGGCTCAGAAAAAGAAAGTTGAGAGAAGTTATAACAAGAAAGTTAAGAGTAAATTATTTTCTGAAGGAGAATTAGTGTGGAAAACCATTTTACCAGTTGGATTTAAAAGCCCAAAATATGGTAAATGGTCTCCAAATTGGAAAGGACCATTTAAAATACATAAGGTTCTTAGACGAGGAGCCTATCATCTTGCTTCTTTAAAAGGTGAGCCACATAGAACGATAATTAATTACAAGTATTTAAAGAAGTATTATCCAACCATGTGGGAATGCATGAGTTCATACACATGAAAACAAAGATATGTGATAGAAAGAGTAAAGTCAAAACAAATGTAATAAGTATTTTCATTAAACTTGTATCAAAAGTACAAAAGGACAAATAATGAAATTTTTTACATTTGGCCTAATCCCTTTGGAAATACATTGAGAGTCTGCTCTAAGCTTGAAGAGCAGTCTGATGCTTTAGCTTATTTTGCATAAGTTTGGTTTGGGCTTGCTTGAAAGCTAGTGGACCACTTTTTGCTTGAGCAAGAAGATTTGGAATTTGCTGAGAAAGGTTGGCTTGCTCTTGTTCAATGGCAGCTTTCTGGGCTCTCATGTGGGCCAATTGAGCTTCTAGCTGAGCTTCTTCTGCTGTAAGAGTGTTAAATTGAGCAATGAGAGATTGATCTAGCAGATGCTTCAGTTAGAGCATGTACTGCTTTCCTCACTTGCTCAGCTTGATTCTCAACAGTTTTTGGCTCAATTTGAAATTGATTGATAGCCATTAAATGCTGAGGAAGCTCTAAAATGAAGGTTTGAAAGATTTTCACTTGGTCTGGATCAAAAAGTTGAGGCATCAGTGGTGCAATGGCTCCCAAACAGTCAGTCAAAATTGAAGTTTGAGAGAAAGCCAAGGCATCCAATGGTTGACCAAGTAAATTAAAAAATTGTTCAATAAGTTCTTGCTATTCATTGGATAGTTGCTTCAATTTTTCTTCAACAGTCAAATCAGCAACAATTTCTTGAATAGCAGAAATTCCCAAGAGTAAGTCTTGAATGGAAGAAGAAGAGATAACTGCAGGCTGTAGTTATAAAAAAGTAAAGTTAACAAATGAAGAAAAATGAATATGGAAAATGATATGAGAGATTATTACCTCTGTGACAATATGAGGTGAGGTAGAAGTACCCAAGATCTCTTTTGAAGGACTTTGAGCTAGTGTAGTGTGCACTCCCATGTCAGCAGTCAATGATGTTTGAAAATGCATCTCAGTCTTGCCTAAGAGAATGAAAATGGATTGTTTTTAAACTGTATACATCTAAATATATATATATATATATATAAAAATAAATAAGAATAAGGTGTATAGGTGAGAAAATGTTACCAGTGTTGGAAATGACTGAGTAATGGAAGTGATGATAGTTGGTTGAGGAACTCTCATATCACTTGAGGTTGATTCAACATCTAAAACCTCAGTGTTAGCTCTGTCAACTTCATTTAGAATGTTGTCATCTGGCTCAAAAACATGCTCATAGGTAAGAGAACCTCTGTCGATAGGAGATGTGTGGTTGTCAGAATTAGTTGGTAAGTTAATTGGAGCTTCTCTGACATGGTCTAAATTAACTAGATCTTCTTGAGCATGTTCAGGAATTGCTGATTCTTCTGAAGAAAAAGCCACACCAGGAAAAGTGATGACTTCATCAATTCCATGTGGCATCCCTCTAAGAGGGAAGGCCATTAGGTCTCCTAAAGCCACTTCTTGGGGAATTTCAGACAAAATTTGAGCCAGTTCAAGAGCCAAGTTTCTTAAACTGGCTCTTTTTTGATCAACTTGTTCTTCCTCAAGGGGGTTTAGTTGAGACTATAGCAATTCAGTTTGGTTTTCAAAAGGATTAACTTGTGCCTCAGCCAGTTCTTCATTCTCAGGAAGAGGAGGAGATAGGTTGGTATGAGTTTCAGGTATATCTTCATGAGAAGAAGAAGGTGTGGCCAAAGAAACAAGTCTTCTCTTTTTGTATGACTTAAGATATGTCTGAAAGAGAAAGAGGAAAATGTTAAACAAGCAAAATAAAATGTCATTATGTTTAAAATGATAACAAAATTGACAGATTGAGTAAGATTTATACCATTATGGGATGAGAAGATGAACTACTAGAAGAAAAAGAAGAAGAAGCTGGTGCAGCAGGAGCTTGTGAAGGAGTTGGTTGTTCTTGTTTTCTTTTAGGTTTCTTTACAAGTGCTGCACCACTGGAAGAGGAAGAAGCTGGTGTAGCCGGAGATAGTGGAGGAACTGGTTCCTCTTGTCTTCTTTTAGATCTCCTCTCACATGTTGCACCACCTTCCAATGTTGATTGAGAAATACCACATTCTGGTTGTGATTGAGATGAAAAGGATTTTTGAAGTTCCTCTTCACTAGTCTGAACCCTTTGTTCAGTCTCCACACCTGGTTTGTAAGGTGTGAAACCTTCAGCATTGGTGGTGTTCAAGGGATTACCCTTATGCTTTCTTTTCTGGATAGTGGGAGTAGGCATTTCTGTTGCCAAAGGAATGTCTTTGACTGGGGACTCAGCTACATATATATGTAGAAAAGATATATATTGTTATACACCAAAAAAAAAAAAAAAAAATTAACAAGAAATATAAAGTAAGAAGAAGATAGCTATTTACCAATGCTCATGGTCACTCCTTTTCTGTTGTCAGGATGCACATTCCAGAGGTATATTTGAGTTTCTCTATTAAAGATTACTGCACTCATAAGAAGCCACCAGTCTCTGAATCATGTAGAGAGAAAGGATGTAACTTTGCAGTAGTAGAAGCTGAATTGATCAAATAGTTCTTGATTGTGGGCTAGAAGGGCCTCCACAACTGTTTGATTTTTGAATTAAATTCTAGCTCCAACTTGCTCATGAATAGTTGGATGAAAATATGGGCAAAGAACAGTTTGATAGAGGCCCATTTGCCTAGACCATTGACAGGGGTTATAGCTTTCAAAACTGTAATTAGAAATTCTGCTAGTTGAAAGGGACCCTTCCACTAAAATGTATCTTGGAGTAAGGATCTGAGCCCAAAAATGCTTTTGTTGCTGTCTCAACTCATCACCCAACATAGAAGGATCATCATGGACATAGGTGAGTCTAGATGAGGTGTAATGAAGTTGGTGAAAAGGGATGAAAAGCTGAGGATCTCTGCTGATAGGTAGTTCATAAAGAAAAGTGAACACGTTAGTAAAAGAATTAGAGGTGGCTGGTCCAAAGGAAAGAAAAAATTCAGCATAGCTTTGGCATGTGGGGAGAAATGGAGTCTGAGTAGTAGACCTAATTTCAGGAAAATAAGCATAAAGCCAGGCTTGGAAAAGCCAGAAAGGACCACCACCATTATGATCAATTTCTTTATCTACTAAAGACAATAGACCTCTATATAAGGTGCCTAGTAAAAAGGGGACAAGGGCCAATTCTATACCCTCCTGAATGCAAGTGGCTAATGCTAGGTATTCTTTAGTGATTTTCAAACCAGGAACACAAAGAAAATGTTGCGAAGGCCATAGTAAATAAAAAGTTGTTCTTTCCTCATTTGTGGGTTCAAGGCCAAATTTTTGGTACTTTGTTTGAAATTTCCCATAACAGAGGTCACGGCATAGGACATTCATACCACAATTGCTTGATTTGTTGTTGTTTGTAAAAGTTTGGATTCTCTATTAAATCGCCACTGTCGATTTGGCCCAGACCAGATTTTTTGCTAACAATAACATATTACGTAATAATTGTGGTATATTTTGAAGACTATGATAGCACTACAGTCATGCTCAATAGAGCTTACACTCCATCAAGATAAATACAATGTTGTAGCATATCATATTAGTAAGTTCGGTTAAAGAAGATTTTAGATTGATATTTGACAGATTAAATAGGAAAATGGGGTGTACCTTCGAGATATGGATTTCAAAATTATTATTATTATTATTATTATTATTATTATTATTTTCAAAGATTTCAATAGTAGTAGTTTAAACACTTGATCACCACTTCATTTTTGAGAACCATATTGTAGACACTCCATTTTTGACCGACCTTGAGACTCAGACGTCACCAGTTGAGCACTCGGTGATATTTCATATTGTGCTCGTTCAGAAGTTTCAAAGTCTCAACTGCGAGCCTTGCCTCCGGACTTCCGGACTCTTTTGTGCTTTGCCTCGGTTTGCGAACCAGGCTCCGTTTTCTATATTTTCTCTTCCCGAAGGGAGGGAGAGGTCTCGTTGATCATCTCTCATTGGCCGTAGGCTACGTTTCGTGGTTGTAGGCCGTTTTGCCCGTTTGGAGTCCGGTTTCTGATTTTTCGGAGCCATTGGCCGTGTGCCTCGGTTCGGGACCGTTTAACCACCTCCGTTTGCTCCAGTTTTTTGCATGCATCTTATTTACTCCCTTTTGAGGGACACTACGGTCCGAGATACCAACTTTGTGGTCGGACACAACTTCCAGTGCCTAACAGCCCACTTTCGGGGCCCCGAACTGCGTGTTTTGGCTCCCGAACATTCATTCTACATTTTTGGGCTCCGACCCAAACTTGAGATAGTCATATTTTGAGGTCCTTTTCATGTTTGATTAAGGACATTTTGCTGTTTGAGATCTCCTCCTATCACTTGCTTCTTTAACGCTCTTTTAGGCCTATTTTTGCATGGTATTTTAGACTTACTTATGAGCTGTTTCGGACTTGGTCATAAACTACAAAGTGTCTTGTTTTGAGCCTCTCTTCAACTTTGTTTAAGGGCTCTCAGCCATTTGGGTCCAGCAGCTACCACTTGCCTTTATATCCCACTTTTTGGCCTTTTTTGGAGGAAAACTTGAATTGTTTTCCCCCCCCTTTTTCCCCCTCTTTTCCAACTCTTTTGCTTATAAAACCAGCAGCTCCCAGCTGTGTTGGAGGGTTAGAAAATTTTGATTTTGAGCTCTCTCATTAAATTTCTCTCTTTCTCTACTCTAAACCTCAAAACCCCTTAAGTTCTTAACCATTTTTACACACCATCACCTAGCACCACACCACCACTTC